GAGGGAAAGGGAGATGGGGAGGGAGAGGGATGGGGGAGAGGAGATGGAGAGGGAAGGGGAGATGGGAAAGGTGAGGGTTTGGGAGGGCAGAGGGACAGGGAGATGGATAAGGAGAGGGTCAGGGGAGGGCAGAGGCAAGGGGAAAAAGGGAAGGGGTTGGCGGTGAGGAAGGGAGGCAGAGAGAGATGGGGAAAGGGTTGGGGGTGAGGAGGGGAGGCAGAGAGAGATGACGAAAGGGTTGGGGATGAGTAGGGGAGGCAGAGAGAGATGGGGGAAGGGGTTGGGGATGAGTAGGGGCAGCAGAGAGAGATGGGGTAAAGGGTTGGGGGTGAGGAGGAGAGGCAGAGAGAGATGGAGAAGGGGCTGAGGGTGAGGTGGGAAGGCAGAGTGAGATGCAGTGAGGGTTAGAGGGAGCAGGGTGTCACTGGGATAGGGAATGGAGAAGTGGGGGTGAGAGGGTTAGAGGGGCAGGCAGGGACAGGGAGGAGTGAAGCAGGAGTTGGGGGGAGGGATGTGGAATGGACAGAGGTAGGGAGGGGGTGAGGGGTAAGGGGATGGGGAGAGTTGGGGGTGAGATAGAGTATGATAGCAGTTGGGGCAATAGATGATGTGAGTGAGGAGGGAGAGAGGAATGGGTGGGAGGGATACGGGAGGAGGGGTCGGGAGACGTAATGGGAGAGATAGTGAGGTGGTGAGAGGAAAGGGGGAGGTGGATTAGAGATGAAAGGAGAGGGGGTTGTGAGAGATAGAGGGGAGAGAGGAAGCGGGAAAATGAAGGGAGAGTGAGAGAGGAAGGGATGGGCAAGTTGAGGAGGGTACATGGGGAGGAGGAAGAGAGAGTGCTGGGAGAAAGGGCAAGTTGAACAAGGGAGAGGAGGGGTAAGTGTGGAGAGAGAGAGAGAGGAGACAGGAAGTTGGGGAGCAATGAGTGGGGACGAGGGGTGGGGAGAGGAGGATGTTCATTGTGGTGGTGTGAATGTTATTGCCACTTGTCAGCCCGAGCCTGGATGTTATCCAGATCTTGTGGCATTTGAACACGGATTGCTTCAGTATCTGAGCAGTTGCGAATGGTGCTGAACATTGTGCAAATATCGGTGAACATCCCCCACTCCTGACCTTACGATGGTGGGATGGTCATTGATGAAGCAGCTGAAGATGGTTGGGCCGAGGACATTACCTTGAGGAACTCCTGCAGAGATGTCCTGGAGCTGAAATAACTGACCTCCAACAACCATGACCATCTTCCAAGGTGTCAGGTATGACTCCAACCATTTGCCCCCGATGCCCATTGATACCTCCTGGCGAGATTAACTGGATTACAGTCTGCTTTCTGGGCTCATTCTTGTGCTGTGTTTTGAATTTTATAATTTTCCAGTCCTTTGGCACCATCTCTACATCAAAGGACTGGAAACGTCTGGCCAGTAGCTTTGCAGTTTCTAACTTGACTTCCTTTAGGACCTCATCCAGTCCTTCAGTTATAGGCAGCCCATCTAATCCCTCCTTTCTATCAGACATTCTCTAGTCCAGTCTAAATCCTTTTTAGCTGCCGGCATTATTTCTGTTTCTCTCTATCTCCGCCAGACTCCAGTTCTGCCAGAGGAGGAAACTCTTCGCTCAGAAGGTGACGAATCTTTGGAATTTTCAATCTCAGAGAGCCGCACCACAACTTTCCGCTAAGAATGTTTGAGGCAGACATTGTCTAATGCTGGATTGGTGGGGAATGGAAAACCTTGGGGAGCGGGGAGACGGCAAAGGATTGAGGTTCAGATGATCTTATTAAGGAAATGCTCCCGTTTCTCCACCACACAGCACTCCCCCCTCCACCCTCCGAGCTCCCTCACACTCAAACTGGGGTGTGTTTCCCCAGCCGTTCTCTTGGCTTTTCCCATTCCTACCCACCGAGCTGGCCCCTTCCGATGGGAAACAAATCAGCCATGAATCCCAAGTGATCCTGTTCCACTTTTGTTTGCAATACCTGGGAGATGGATTGCTAGGAGTCAATAGAATAGTGTCTCTCTCTCTCCCTCTCTCAAACTCGTAATATGGCTATAACTTAGGACTTCTGACCATATCTTTAGGCTCTTGTGATAAGAACATAAGATATCCAGGCAAAATTGAGGCCTCTTTTGGAGTACTGTATCCAGTTCTGGTCGCCCTGTTATAGGAAGGATATTATTAAGCTGGAGAGGGTTCAGAAGAGATTTACCAGTATGTTGTCAGGAATGGAGGGTTTGAGGTAGAAGGAGAGTCGTAGAGTCATACGGCAAGGAAACAGACCCTTCAGTTCAACTCATTCATGCCAACCAGATATCCTAAGTTAATCTAGTCCCATTTGCCAGCATTTGGCCCATATCCCTCTAAACCCTTTCTATTCATATACCCATCCAGATGCCTTTTAAATGTTGTCATTGTACCAGCCTCCACCACTTCCTCTGGCAGCTTGTCCCATACATGCACCACCCTCTGCGTGAAAAAGTTGCCCCTCAGGTCCCTCTTAAATCTTTCCTCTCTCACCTTAAACCTATGCCCCTCTAGTTTTTGAGTTCCCCACCTTGGGGAAAAGACCTTGTCTATTTATGTCTATCCATGTCCCTCATGATGTTATAAAACTGTATAAGGTCACCCCTCAGCCTCTGACACTCCAGGGAAAATAGCCCCAGCCTACTCAACCTCTCCCTATAGCTCAAACCCTCCAACCCTGGCAATATCCTCGTAAGTTTTTTCTGAGCCCTTTCAAGTTTCCTATAGCAGGGAGACCAGAATTGTACGCAGTATTCCAAAAGTGGCCCTAACCAATGTCCTGTACAGCCACAACATGACCCTCCCAACTCCTATACTCAATACACTGTCCAATAAAGGCAAGCGTACCAAACACCTTCTTCACCGCCCTGTCTACCTGCAACTCCACTTTCAAGGAACTATGACCCCTGCACCCAAGGTCTCTTTGTTCAGCAACACTCCCCAGGACCTTACCATTAAATGTGTAAGTCCTGCCCTGCTTTCCCATTCCCAAAATGCTGCATCTCATATTTATCTAAATTAAACTCCTCGGCCCGTTGGCCCATCTGATCGAGGTCCCATTGTACTCTGAGGTAACCTTCTTCGCTGTCCTCCACAACCTCCCGTTTTGGTGTCATTTGCAAACTTACTAACCGCACCTCCTATGTTCACATCCACATTGCTCATATAAATGATGAAAGGCAGTGGACCCAGCACCAATCCTTGTGGCACACCACTGGTAACAGGCCTCCAGTCTGAAAAGCAACCCTCCACCACCACCACCACCCTCTGTCTCCTACCTTTGAGCCAGTTCTGTATCCAAATAGCTAGTTCTCCCCATATTCCGTGTGACACAACGTTGCTAACTAGTCT